CCATAATTCAAGATACAAATCCACAAGGCTTATACAGTAACAACGTTCGGAAAATAACGTACTTGAACATACCTTTACTAAGATATTACTCACAGTGATCTGTCGGATTATTTGTCCTTGCGCTTGACCCTACATATATCATAAGCATAATGGGTCACAAGCGATTCAATCCGTTCTTAATTTATATATTCCTCTTAGGCCTCTTTCTTATCTTCTTAGTCCATTTTCAATGCTCAATGTATGTCTAAGAGTGCTTAGAAATGAAAGACAATGAAAAACAAAACACAAAACCACTTTTAAAAATTTCTTAAATAGGGTTCTTCGCTCGAGCGCAGCTTCGGTTGCTCAAGTGGACCCCTTTGGTCTGCAAAAGTGTTGGTTGCCTCATTTTTTCACTCGGGCGTGACTTTGGACACTCGAGATAAAAGTCAAAACCTGTGACTGGGCACTCGAGCGTTACTCCTCTCGCTCGAGCAGACATCAATGTCTGCAAAACTCCTGGGAGCTAACGTTTTCTGCTCGAGCGGCGATTTTCTCGCTCGAGCGGACTCGACGAATTCTGGAATTTCCAGAACTGTATTGAAAGCTCAAACTTGATGTTCAAAGGCCCAAAACTCATGTTTTTGGTACAAAAGCATGGAAAGACATTATATAACACAAGAACATAAGTAATTTGGGATCAATTGTCTATAATCATGATCTATCTCTCAAATCATTTCAAATTCTTCTTGTCAATTTCAAGACTCAAATAATCATGCTCCCTACTTAGATGAATCATGAATGCATGTAAATTATTGACTTTAATTCCATTTCAAAGGGTACAAGTGGTATTTAAAATCATGAAGCTTAATGAAATTATGCATGCATGTGAAATTTGGTGCTTAATTCTTCATGTTCAACATGCCTCATGCTTGATTATGCAAATTTCATGGCAATTCATGGCAATTCTATACATGCATGTGCAAATAGACCTTAAATTCATCATAATCAACTCAATTCTTGCTCTCAATTGCGCATCTTGCTTGAATTCACTTATTTATGGACTTAAACTCATGAAGCTGAGTTCAATTACTCACCTAGAGGCTCCAATATTTCCAATTATAGTTAAACCTTGTGTTAATCTACTTGGCTCTCTAATTCCCTTGCAAAATCTTCAATGTTGGCCCCTTTCTCTCTCTAAATTCAGTTCACTCTCTCTCTAGAGTGCCTATTTTAGATTTTTGAGCTAAAGCCAAAATGAGTATAAGTGTAATGGGGCCCTTATATATGTTTTCCTTAATCAATTTAATTAAGGCTAAGTAATCATATTTAATTAATCGGTTCGATCTAATTATTTTGATCCAAATCAATTTCTAATTAAATTTCACCATAGGTTTTAAAAATTACGCTAATCACAATGGTGCAGACAATTCTAGTTTCTGAAACCTCTACGGTCTTCAATTTTCAAATTATGACAGTAAATTGCACAGATTTTCCTATGTTGAACAGATATAAGTTGCATAGATTTTCCTATGGTGAACAAATATAGTTTCAAAAACATGAATAATCACATAGTTACTACTAAAAATCATATTAAGCATATAATCACAATCATAATTAAGATCAATTAGCATATCACGGGACAGGGTTATCACAGTCCTGATCGCCCATTTTGGCTCTCGCGCTATTGTTTTCGGCGACCGGTTCTATTTCCTATTTAGTTGAGTTTTGTCTTGGCTTTATTTGGTTTAGAAAATGGGAAAATTCCGTGTGTTGGTTGATATTCTTGAGGCCATGGCCTTGTTCCGCCGAGATTTCGGTATTCCTAACGACGTTACCCTTTCGCTGGCAAAGGTCGACGCCAAGCACATGGGTACAAAACACACTGTTGCATTCCCTGTCACCGCCATTGTTGAGGGAAGGGTTCGGTTTCCCCTTGATCCCTTGGTACACCATTTCATGCACCAAGTTCAACTTACCCTTATGCAGGTGTTTGTAAATCTGTTCTGAGTTGTCTGTGGCGTCTCCGCTCTTAACAGGCAGTTGGGTCAGAACCTGGACATCTGGGATATTCTGGATTGCTATACTCTCTTGCACAATAAGGATCATAGCACCTATTATCTCCGTGTCCGCTCAGCTGACTGTCATTTTGTAACTGGCTTACCTGATTCGGACAAACACAATGATGATTTTTTGCAAGTCGGTGGTAACTGGGAGTTTCCTGCTGGGACTAAGTTCCAATCCGAACAAATGCCCCAAAAGGATGGCTACCTAGGTTTGAGTTCTGTACCCTAGTACTTCTGTACTTCTGCACTTCTGCACTTCTGCTTGTTTGTTTGAATGTTATGCTAATGTTGTTCCCCATTTCTTTGCAGAGGCTTCCCGTTATCAATGCAGATCGAACCGCGAGAATGCAAAGGCAATTAAAGTCATTTTGAGATATAAGAAAAGATTCGGCCCCGAACTGTTGGATTATCAAACAACCTACCGTACCACAATCCAGAAAAAAGCAAGGCCATCTGCATCTCTTCTTGACTTTGATACTGAAACTGACTCTCCATCTACTCTTCTAGTTACAAACCGTTGCCTCGGTCGAAGCTTATCTGTTGAGAGGACCCCTTCTCCTGTGCCTAGCTTCACAGGGGGAGGATCCATGGCAAAGAGAAGGGTACTGGTGGACCTTGAGGCAGAAGCCTTTGGCTCCCCTTCAGCTCTAGAGACTTCTTTGGTTAAGGCCGAGCCAAAGAGTCTTATGGATATAAAGCTTGAGATATGAGCCTCTGGTCCTTTCGCTGTTGCTGCTGATCTTACTACTTCGATCATTAAGAGGGCGAAGAAGAGTAGAAGCGAGACTGGCAAGGCCATTGTTGGTGAGGCTTCTGGGGATCCTGTTGAGGATGAGTCATTTGAGAAGTGGGAATCGCCTATGCTGTACCAAGGCAGACCCATTTCTATCTCTGATTCGATTATTGCTTCTGGGGACTTTGCTTTCGATTTGACTAAAACCCTGTTGATGCCAGTAGATATAGTAGATCATAACGGACCTTCGGACATTCCAATCTTGAAGGGAACCCTTCAAATGATGACTGCTGTAAGTGCCACTCCATTTATTTTTTGTGTTCTTTATTGATTTGTATCATTTCCTTTCCTTTAGTACTTGCTTGTTTGCTGCAGTGTATTCAGAGGATGCATTTGTCCATCACCCGAGCTGAGGAACTAGAGAAGGTCGTACTGGACGTGGCCATGACTGTTGAGAGGTTGACAACAAGTTTGGAAGCTGAGAATGAGGGACGCAAGACTGCTGAGAGGGAGGTATTTCGTCTGAACAAGGTTATCACCTCGGCTGAGAAGTCCAAGGAAGCTGGTATTGGGGTCTAGGCCCAACTTGAAGGGAAAGTGGCTGAGCTGGAGATGGTTATTGCGATGATTGCTGCTGAACATTCGGCTTTGGAGGCTAAGCACTAGCAGCAAGGTTGGGACGAAGATGGAGCCATTTATAAAGAAAAGGTGCTGGTATTACTAGATAAGCTTTTTCTAAAGGACTGGACAAGTGCTCTGACCACTGCTCAAATTCTTAAAGGGTCTCCTTTGTTTCAAGATATTCCTGCTCCCTCAAAGTCCTTGGGTCTGAAGGTTGCTGCTACCCCTGCTACTTCTCTAGCTAAGACTTCTCCAGGAACTGATTCTACAAACAAGACTCTGGAGAGCGATACTGCCAATGAAACGGTGAATGATGAAGGGGGTGAAACCCTGGAAATTGAAGCTGTGAGAGATGTGGTTAAGGAGGCTCCTGTTTTCCAAGAAGTTGGAGCTGCCTCTACTTTTCCTCCCTAAGATGGCCCGGACTAGATTGTGGATGCTACTCCTGAAATTGCTCCTGCTGATGAAAGTTGAAGTGACCTTTGGAATGATTTGAAGTTTTTCTTTTTACAATTTGCTTTTTCTTTTTTTTTACTTTTTTGCTGTATTAGAGCTCAGTTGTCCTGACGAGTTTCTCCCTTAAGTTGGTCAAGACAATTTTTCTTTCTTCTTGTTTCTGTTTTGTGAGGCCAGCTATGCCTTTGATAGAATTTTCCTTTTGATATTGCAATCTGATATGTTTTGCTTTCATACTTGCGTTGTTCATATTGTTTGCCCCCAGCCAAGCACTGTTAGGACCAAAGGCCCGAATAGATGCTCAATCTGCATGGTTATATTGATCTTTGTAATTGAATGAGAGTAACTTACTTAGGTCTAGGTTGACTTCAAGAAAAACAATTGTTTGCCTCCACTTAGAGCTAAGTAAGATTGGTACTGAAGAACTCGCTCTCTAGGAGAGCTGCTTAAGTTGATGTTGATTTTGATAGCATAAGTGCCATTGAATAGGACAAAAAGATTCAAAGGAAATATGTCATACTCAGGTCCAGGTTGGTTCCGAGAAAAAAATTGTTTGCCCCCACCTGGAGCTGAGTAAGACTACTATTGAAAGTTTGGTCTTGAAAGAATTATCTAAGTCTGTTCCAACTTTGTTTGGATGCAGCAGTATTGAAGTGTTGATGTGATAATACTTAAGAAATTTTGTAATTTCCAAGAAAAAGAATTGGGCATCAAAAAATTCATTAGGGCAGTTTCCACTAAGCAGTTCCACTTGGCTAAGATCCATTTTGGTGGCCAAACATAACTCCACAAAGCAATCCCACTTGGCATGTTTGAGTGCTGACCAAAACTAAATTTTGTTCAGTCGTTCCGAAACTTTTTTCGTTTGGTTAAAACCAAAGCTAAATCCATTTGGTAAACACCAAAGCTAAGTCCGTTTGGTAAACACCAAAGCTAATTCAGTTTGGTAAACACCAAAGCTAAGTATGTTTATTTTGAAATATGCCCCTAGGGTTTGGATTATAAAGTCCAAGTTAAGCAATAATCTGTTTTGACCACAAAGCTGTACAGGTGCTTGGAAACAAAAGTTCAAAGAAATAGGGAGGCATTTTCATTAAGCAAAAGAAAAATGCTTTTACACTTGATAGATAATTGTGGGGTTTAGTCTATTGATAGTACTTTTTGAGGTTTACTACATTCCAGGGCTGAGGTATGGCCTTGCCCTTGATATCCTCCAAGTAGTATGCTTCATTTTCAACAACGACTGTAACCTTGTATGGACCTTCCCAGTTAGGTCCTAATTTTCCTTCACCAGGCACCCTTTTGTGATCCATGACTTTCCTCAAAACCAGTTCCCCATGTATGAATCGCCTTGGGAAAACTTTTTGGTTAAAACTCTTGATGAGCTGTTGTTGATAGGCCACAAGTCTGAACAGTGTTGTTTCTCTTCGGCCTTCTGCTATATCCAGTGCTTGTGCAATAGCTTCCTCATTACTTGTATCTTCAAACAGTTCCAATCAGAGGGTTGGGAGACCAACTTCAAATGGAATAACAGCCTCCATTCTGTAAGTTAGGGAGCAGAGTTTTTCCCCCGTTGAGCGACCGACTTCCAGTGGAATAACATCATCACTTTTGCAGGTCAAGGAATAGGGAGTTTCCCCGGTCGAGAGTCGTGCCGTGGTTTGGTAGGCCCATAACACATGGGGTAACTCTTCAACCCACTTCTCTTTTGCACTTTCGAGCCGCTTCTTTACTCCGTTGATGATGGTTTTGTTTGACGCTTCTACCTACCCATTGCTCTGTGGATAGCCCGAAGAGGAGTTTTGATATTCAATCTTGTGGTCGGCACAAAATTTTCTGCAGATCTTTCTGCCAAACTGTGTTCCATTGTCTGCAATCAATACTCGCGGGAACTTGAAACGGACCACGACATTCCTCATGACAAATTGCTTTGTGTCTGGTTCTTTGATGCTTGCCAGTGCTTTAACTTCAACCCACTTGGTGAAATAGTCGGTTATAGCGATGAAGAATCGTCTATTTTCAGTGCCTCGTGCCAAAGGTCCAACGATATCCAGACCCCACTGGGAGAAAGGCCACGGGCTAGTAAGTGGAGTAAGAGTTTTGGCTGGCTGATGAATTAGTGGAGCAAACCTCTGACACTTGTCACACTTCTGAACGTACTGCTATGCATCTTGCTGCATTCGTGGCCACCAGTACCCATGAGTGAGGCTCGATATGCCAATGACCTTCCACCAATGTGGCATCCATAAATCTTATCGTGAATTTCGCAAATAACATTTTTTACTAGATTTGGATGCACACATAACAGATAAGGATCGAGATAAGAGTGTCAGTATAGCTTTCTTGATGGTGAGATCCAAAATCGAGTTCATCTGTGTCGAACTTTGTTGGCTTCCTTATTGTCTTTGGGGAGAGTGCCAGATTTCAGAAAAACAAGTATTGGATCCATCTAGTTCGGCTCTAGGTTAGTGCGGAGGACTGGAGATGCAATGCTCGGTTCTAGCACAAACTCAACCCAAACTTTTCTAGCATCTTTGGCATCTGTTGATGAGCCGAGGCAGACTAGAGCATCAACGTGACTGTTTCTGTCCCGATTAATTCGTTCCACTCGTATGGATTGGAATTTTTTAAGTAAATCTCTTGCCTTGTCTGCATACATGGCCATTCTTTCATCTCATGCTTCATAGACCCCAGTGAGTTGGTTGACAACCAACTGAGAATCACTGAAAACCAGCAGTTGTTCTGCACTGAAGTGTTCGGCACTGTGTAAACCGGCTAACAGTGCTTTATATTTTGCTTCATTGTTAGAGGCCTTCTAACCAAGCCTACGAGCTTGCTCCCAGATAAATCCTTCCGGAGATATAAGTACTACCTTTGCCCCCAAGCCTCAGTTATTGGATGATCCATCAACGTAGAGCTGCCAGATTTTACCAATAAAGAGTTTCCATGCTTCTGAAGCGCATTGCTCTCCCAGTTTGGTGGTGCGTGACACCTGTATCGAGCAGGAGTTTTGATATTCGGTGCTCTGGGTGGGAGCAAATTCGGTGACAAAATTTGCCAAGACCTGGGCCTTGATTACTGTCTTGGGTTGATATCGAATGTCAAACTCAACAAGCTCAACCGCCCATTTCGCTGTTCGGCCAGAGAAATCGACTCGGCTAAAGACAGATCTAAGGAGGAATTTAGTGAGGACATTAATGGTGTGACCCTGAAAGTAATGTTGTAGCTTCCTTGAGGCGATAAGTAATGCGTAAACCAGCTTCTCCAAGGGTAGGTATCGTGTTTCGGCATCTAGGAGAGTCTTGATAACGTAGTACACAGGCCTTTGTTCCTTTTCAACTTCGCGAATCAGTACTGCGCTTACGGCTTGTTCTGAAACTGCCAGATACAGGTACAGTTCCTCTCTTAGTTTTGGAGTAGACAGGAGAGGTGGTGTACTGATATACTTCTTGAGGCCTTGTAGTGCTTCGGTACATTCAGGACCCATTCAAATGTTGTCTTTTTCCTTAGTAGCTGAAAGAAAGGCTTCATTCAATCTAAAGACTTGCTAATGAACCGATTCAGGACGGCTGCCATTCCGGCCAACTTCTTTAGTTCCTTAGCCTTTGTTGGCATTTCGAGCTCTTGTATTGCTTTGATTTGATCTATATTTTCCTCGATTCCTTTGTGAGTCACCATGTACCCTAAGAACTTCCTTGTTCCTACCTTTTGAGGCATTGAGGCGAAGCTGATGGTTTTTCAAGATATTGAAAACTTCTCTCAAGTCTGTGAGGTGATTTGTAGCAAGCTTGCTTTTCACCACCATGTCATCTATGTAAGCTTCCATAGTCCTGCGAGCTACTCCTTAAACATTCGAGTGACCATTCGCTGGTAGGTTGCTTCGGTATTCTTGTGGCTGAATGGCATTACTTTATAGCAGTAGGTGCCCCTTGGAGTAATAAATGTTGTCTTCTCTTGATCTGGGCCGAACAATGGTATCTGGTGATAGCCGCTATAAGCATCCAGAAAGCTCATACGCTCATGCCATGCTGTTGAGTCTACCAGTTGATCTATGCGAGGCAAAGGAAAGCTGTCCTTAGGACAAGCTCTATTAAGGCAGGTAAAGTCGACGCAGACTCTCCATTTTCCGTTCTTCTTTTTGACTACAACTGTGTTGGATAGCTATTGTTGGTACTGAATTTCTCGAATTACCCCCGACGCTAGAAGCTTGTCGACCTCCGCAATTACTACTTCGGTGTGCTCAATTGAGGATCTTCGGCTTTTCCGCACAATGGGCTAAGCGAAAGGGTTAACGTTGAGTTTATGGAAAGCAAAATCTGGATTTAACCCTGGAGTATCATATGCTGACCGTGCGAATACCTCCATATTTTCCCTCAGCAAATCGAGCAACTGAAGTTTCTCATCAGCACCTAGTGAGGTACCGATAAGGAAATAATTTTCTAGATCATCTTCCTTCACTAGGACTTTTTCCAAATCCTCTACTATCTTCTTCGCTGGGGTTCCTTCAACATCCTCCAAGACCGGCTGTTCGGCTACTTCAACTGTCTGAACTCGATTGCGGATGCTCGATGTTTAGTTCTGGTAGGGGGTTTCCTTGGTCGGTCACCACTTTGTCTTGATCAATGTAGTCTTGGAGGTGCCCAGCAGCTACCAAATCCTCCAGGTGCTGCTTCAATGCTCTGTAATTCTGAGTCATACGCCCCCTATCTTGGTGATAGGTGCATCTGAGCTTTTGGTTGTGCCGAGCTGGATCTCCCAGCATTTTTGGTGGCCAAGTAAAGAATGGCTCTCTCTTGACTTTTTCCATAATACGATAGATAGGTTCCTTGAAAATTGTTACAACTGCTTCATAGGATTTAGACTTGTCTACTTCGTTCACTATGAGTCCTCGGGGTTCCCCTCGGTCTACTTTTCTTTTGTTCTGAGTTGTTTGTTCAGCTGATGCCATCTTGATGGGGATCTAATCATCTTCGAGGCGAGTGTACTGCTCAATCTTGGTACACAAATCCTTCAGTGTTGTGGCTGGGTGCTTGGTAAGTGATTGTCTCACTTTGCTTTCCGAACGCAGACCGTATTTAAAAGACATTACAGCCATCTATTTATTGCAAATATTTTCCTCCAAATCGTTATATTCTTCCCACTACCTTCTAGCATAATTACGCAGCATCTCTTTCTGTTCCTTTTGGAGACCAAACAAGGTGTTCGCTCTTTTGGGATCTTAGTGTTGGAAATGAATCTGGCTAAGAACTCTTCAGAGAGCTGCTTCCAGTTGTAAATGAATTTGGCGGGGAGTCGATTGAACCATCGAAGTCCAGATTCTCCCAATCTGGATGGAAAGACTTTGCATATCAGTGCCTTGTCTCAGCTCCATAAGGACATCATCTGTCGATAATGGCTGATATGTGTTAGTGGGTCTGATTTCCCATCGTATAACGTGAACTTTAGTGGAGTGAATTTCTTGGGTGGTCTCATAGCTTCGATTTTCGGGGAAAAATGAGAGGAGACGAGTCGATCCAGTGCTCGGTGCCCTCTCTGATGGACGGTACGGTCAAGATGTAGAGCCTAATGATCTCGTTGTTGCTCATTTTGTTTGTTGCCGACCAACCAAGTACAGAGATCCTAAGGAGGATACTCTGTCTGCTGGCTGGCTGTTTTCTGCCTCTTAGCCCTTCTCCGGCGTGAACCACAGGTGTGGCTACTCGTTACTTCACTTTGCATCGGGATTGGCTGACTTTGCATCCCAAATTCATTTCTGGGGACCTTCTTCACTGGTGGTTCCCGGGATGGGTTCCTCTGGCGCAGACAAGAGGGCTCTGCATCGGCCCTTTTCTCCGTCGGGTCGTTCATCATCCTTTTGAATTGTGCTTTCAGTTCCTATATCTCTATTCCCATGGAATCGATGATTCGATTTCTGTAATCCTTCTCCAATAGCAAATGGTGGGAAGAACCACCAGCAAAGGGCTGTTGATCAGATTCGATAGCCCAGTTGTTATTTTCGGTCTGTTCCTCCAGAACTGTTGGCAGTGCAAAATCTTTATCCTTCGTCTTCTCCATTTGTGGAGTCAATGCCAAGGGTGGAATATCCTCAATTTCCATCGCTGGAATCAAGTACAGAACTCAAAGATGAAGGGTCCATGCTCATCGTACCAATTGTGCATATTGGATACCGCACTAGATGATTGTGGACCAGAGTTCCGCACCCGATTGGACTATCCAAGAGTTGAGACCCTGCAATAATGAACATTGTTAGAGCTGCCCGGTTGGGGTTGGCTGGATAACCCCTCTGGTGTGGGAGTAAGTGATCGGAGAAGATGGAATAGGCTCTCTAAGTGTAGAGAATTATGTTTTAGTGAATATGGTTAGGCTCCACTTAGTTACCTTCAATGTGAAGTGAGTGTAGTTTATATAGAACTCCTTGCTTGTTTCCTTAGATGGTTTTATGGAGCTTTGGTGCTGCCAGGTTCCCTTTAGCATTGTTCAAGGTAGGGGACCGTCAGGTAGTTGACAAGGGATGTATATACTCATTGTAGTCATGCTGATAACAAACTAGATTCCCTTGATTAACCGTTTCAGTAATTCTAGGTGAAGGGGACCAGTTGAGGTGGCAGCTTGCACATGCATGCATTCGCAGCTTCCACGTTTCTTTGAGAGGTTCCCTCGATTCGGTATCATTGTGCCTCGGCTCAGCCCTCTGCGAGATTGCTTATAGAGATGGGCTGGCAAGTAGGATATCTTTGTATGGGCTCGACCCATTTCGATTCGGTCCAAGGATCAGGTCCTGCAGCTTGGCCCCGCCTAACATTGTGGCTGGACTGACCTTTCCACTGTGGGTTAGGCCCAAGTGCTTGAGGACATGGATGGATTTGTTGATCATGGAACTGGGCTGAATTGGCTCACCTAAATGTTCACCTGACCTATTTGGTCTTGGGTTTTGTGGATTAGGCTAGCCCAAGGCTTGAATCCGACCTGTTTTATATTTAGCCCCTTCATTTGCCCCCTAGCTCGCGCTAAGGTTCCCCATGGGGGGAGCTATCGTTCAGTACCCCATCTGTTCAGAATATTTCCAACCAACCACAAGTCGGGGCACAAATAGTATTTTCTCTTATAGATTTTGAGTTTATGATAATCCTGGTACCTATGATATCTTCTCTATTTATTCTCTTTACCAAACATGTCAAGTATATTTTTTTATGCTTATAATATGGATATGATATGTGATTGTAATGACCTAATTTTTTTTAAAAAATAGCCAGTACATAATTTAATTGAGCAAATTTTCGAATTTGATTGCTGTGTAAATTCTGTGTGAAAATAGTTCAATTCTATTTTTTTTAAAAATAGAACTCGATCTCAGAAAATTATGAAATTTTTATATGTTGTTCCCATATGAGTCTAGCACGTTGGGTAAACATTTCAGGATTTATTGATGAGTATTTATTTTATAAAAATTCGCGGACTGATCGGTGTTCGGTCTAGTGTACAACAGAATTTGAATTTGAGTTTTGGGTGTTTGGACCATGATTTGAGATAAATTAGTTGGGTTTATTTTGGTATATAATTGGACCATTTTTGACTTATGGGTGAGACCCATGATTTAGATTCAATTTAATTTACATTTGTTTATGACTCATGTTTAACTGTTTGGTCCTTTTTAATTATGTGATTGGTAGTAACCACCTTGGGAGTTGTTATTATTTATTATATAGGATTATAATAAATATTTGATAGTTGATTTTATGGTGTGTACCATATGGTGAAAAATTATATATTTTATAAGGAATGAAATTAGATATATTTTTTAGTAGTGAGCAAAATATTATATTTTGTGGTGTGCAAAAATATTATATTTTATGGTGAGAAAAATTATATCATTTTATAATTTATATTATAAAATTTTGAAGTATTATTACAAAAATTATATTATATTTTTTTTGGGGAGAAATCAACTCTTGAAAAAGCAAACCTACACCCACATGGGGTTGTTTCCCCTTTTTGCCTTGCCCATTATTTTTCCTTCCCATTCATTTCTTTTGGGGTTTGGAGCAGATAGCTCCTGGTCGTCTCTTTCTCTCTCTCTCTCTCTCTCTCTCTCTCCATGCTCACCATTTTTGCTCAATCTTTGAACTTAGAGTGAGAATCTTTAGAGCGAGGTTTTGCAAAAGTGTTGTAAATGAAAGTTAGAGAGCTCATCGTGATCTTCGTAATGGTAGTCTCGGATTCATGATCGAGCAAGATTTGCCTACCAGATCTGCTCTTCTTTATTATTTGAGGTAGGGACTTTCTTCATATTATTACATTCAAATATGTTAAGGTTATTTTGAGAAAATATATATTCATAGGAGGCATTACATATATATATTTTTTTCAAATTTTTGTTTGGTAATTTTTGGAAGAGAAATTATGTTGAAATGTTAAGAATATTGTTATTTTGAAATTGATTTGAAAAAATCATCTTGTGTTGGAAATACTTGTTAAAAATCCGAAAAT